ATAAAAATTCACTGTGAATCTTCCCAAACATTTTCCTTTGCATTTGCATAGAGTTAGGGTGCTGCTGAAAACATAGGAATTTTTGAGTATGAGTGTTTAGAGGTGGAATGCGGTCCTTATCATTCTGTGACCCACTTCTTGACTACTTAGTGACTAGGAGGATCAAGCTCTGCTCATAAGTAGACAGTCACCTTGTTTTTTAAAGGGCACAAAGTGTTCCATCCTACTGCAGGCCACAGGTTAGCCAGTCACTCACTGATGGCTGTTTAGGTTATTTCTAGTTTTTTTGCTGTGTCAAATAAGGGGACACCTGATGCCATCAGGAGTGCAGTCCCGGGGTGCAGACTGAGAGGGATGGTTTATATTGAATGTCTCTGCCGTGGCCGCCTCAGGAGCTGCCTCCGTTTACACTGGCCCCAGCAGTGGACCATACAGGCTGCCCCAGTCATCCCCTCAGCCAGAGGGCAGTGATGAGCGGCAGCAGGTGGGGGCAGCAGGTGAGGAGCTGGCTGCTGGGCTCTGATGGTGGGAGGGAGGGCCGACCAGGAGATGGGGGCTGCTGACCACGAGTGGGGTACAGCTCCCCCCGCCCCCTTCCAGCCCACCACTAGGATCTGCCTCAACCTGGCGCCTGCTCTCTCTCTCCTTTTCTTCTCTTTATCATCAGACCTATTTGATTAAGAGAAAGGCTTTGCTTATTGCTTGGACCTTAAAGAAACCAGGCCAAGGTGAGAAAAAGAATAAGAAAATTAACCTTTTTCACAAAGGCAGGAGCTGATTGCCCCTGACATTGGGCACCTCACGGCTGGGACCTTAGGGCTTCTGGGAAGGGCAGCATGAAAGGGGAAAGTGGTGTGACCATGGATCCGTGGGCATCACCAGGGCTGGGTGCTAACTCACCTCTGAGGCATTATCTGAACCTGAAATGGAGGAAAGGAGTGCAGGGGTGTGGAGAATAGGGGTTCACAGTCATAGCATGGGTCAGGCGGTACTCTGGGGGGAGAGGCTGAGCCTGCGCCCTGGGCTGGACGGAGTGTCAGGTGGCTAGCACTGCAGGCTTCAGAGAACGTCCAGCATCAGAGTGCTACTCCTCATCTTGCTGTCTGCCCCAACCACTGATGCTGTCTCTTACTGGGAGGTCTCAGAATGTGGGGCTTTTCTGGTATTGTTTTTGCTGGGTTTCCCCCACTCCCCTCTGATGGGTGGTTATGGAAGAAGACAGGGTCACCTATTGATGACTTGTGGACTCTCTTTACTCTTGATGAATTCCTTGGCCCTCCTGGATTCTGGAACCAAAGACAAATGGGCTTCTGCAAGGGCTTTTTTTTTTTTTTGCACCTGAAATGATTGCATGAGCCCAAGGGATCTTCTATCTATTGATTGAAGGTCATAGAATCCTCCAGGGAGGTGCTAGCAGCTGCTGGGGGTGCTCACTGGGATCCCTGACTCCACCAACCTTTCTGTCTGGTTATATAGTCTTATTCATGCTTTACATGGATTACAGTCACTGACAAGGTGGTGACACAAACATGCTTGGGTTACCTATTGCATTGTTCATGCCTGAGGGCCCACATCGTCAGGCTGGGAAAGGTAAAGTAGAATCACGCCTCCCGTGCACAGTTAGAGAAACAAAACCTAGACTGACGCAGATCTGGAAGGATCTATTCTGTCAAGCAGGGGTAGCAACACCAAGACTGACCTATGGAAGACAGCACGAGACATCCTTCCTACAGGGGCCAAGTGGACACTTCTCTGCATAGACTCTTGCTGCCCATGGAAAGAAGGCCAGGAAGTGGCTTCCCTCCATGGGGTTGCAGCCATTTCTGGCAGGTGTGCAGATTTTTGTTCAAGAGTAATGTGGGACTGACCTTATTGGTGCTTGTGCACAGGATCTCGATGAGCACAGCCTGGTCTGTGCCCAGACCCTTCATAGCCTTCTGCAGTTGTCGGGCGGCATATTCACTGGGCCTTTCCAGAAGAGCCAAGGCTGTCTTCTCAAAGTTTCCACTCAGCTCACCCTTGAGCACCTCTTCCAGGTCCTAAAGGAAACACAGAGGCCTGTTGGGGAGTGGCTAGGGGGAAAGGGACAGGTGTCTCACTGCACTATTGCATGTGCTCAGGCCTGGCAGGAAACCTGCCTTGGCCACATACAGAGTGACCTGGCAAAAACGACCCACTCTTGAGAACAGTGGTCACCATGGCCATCCATCCAGTCTCCCAGCAAGGCTAGCAGAGAGGCAAAGAGGAAATTTCCCACTCAGGGCTGGAGACCCCAAAGACGAATCATTGAAACAGCAATGTTAGCAGAATATTCTAGGGTTCCGAGACCTTTCTCAATAGATCCTCAAGACAACCCTGAAAAAACTAAGTATTGGCACTGTCCTCATTCATTAGACTTCAGAAGATGAAGGGTTTGCTGCCAAACATTCAGCTAAAAAGGACTGAATGCAGGTCTGTTTTCTCTAGAGGAATCTGATAATTTACCATCCAAATTGGGTTAGTTTTGAGAGGAAAGGGGACTATTATTAATAATTGTGATGGACAGCAGGAATAAACAGGGACTCTCTTGTTAGGACCAGATGTACAGTTACTTCAGTTATCTTGTTAAATCCTGAGAGGGAGGTGTGTGAGAAAGAACTCAGACAGGCAGATGTCAAGGAAATTCTCCCTGGCATCCTGTTTTCGGTGGGCATAGTCTTAAACTTTTCTTAGAGCACACTCTTATCACAGTGAGGAAACTACCTTTTCCTACCTGTTCATCTCTGATAACGGGGTTTAATAAGGACAAGGTCCAGAGGCGGTAGTCAGTCTATCCAGTTGTCAATGCCCCAACTTATATGAAGGACCTGCTGTGGAGCCACAGCCCAGGATGGGTCAGATTGGAGGCCCATAGATCAGTGGGCATCTCAGGGACCGAAGTAACAGCAGGGGCCTGGGATGGCTACTCAGCAACAAGTCTGATGGCTAAGGACACAGTCACAGTAGCATTGTGACCTTGGAAAACTTAATTTCATCCACAGGCAATTTTCTTCTCTAGAAGATGGGAAGAATAACCAGATTTATAGAGTCGATGGGAAAATTAAATGAGAGGATCCATGTAAATAATGAGCACAGTGCCTGGCATATTTGATAATGCTCAAAAAAATACTTATTATTATTCATTATGTTTATTATATAAGAATATCATTGTTAGCCTACGTTGAAAGGGATTTCCTGAAAGGAGGCAAATCAACTATTTATCAAATGAACCTCTGAGTTCTGGGCCAGGGAGAAAAATCCATATTTTTGTGCAAGGCCTTAGGATCTACCATCTTAAGAAGACTGTAATATGACACTCCTGTCCCCGCTGCTACCTCTCCCTTTAACACTGCATCCTGTGAAGGCAGGCTTCTGCTCAGGACTCTGTGGTGTGCATCCACCTGGAAACTGGAAATCCTTTTCCAGGTCAGAATGGCATTGTTTAGAACTGCAGCAAAGAGAAATCCCGGCTGACCACTCTCGGAAGGCACAAGCCTGGAAATAAATCCTTGAGGGTTTATATTCTGTTGGGCAGAGAAGCAGACTTGGGATTCCTCAATTCCTGTCCTGCTAACTAGCTGTGTGATCCTGGGATGGTTATTCTCTTTGGAGCTTAGCTGAGATGGGGACTCTGATTTCATCATCTCAAATACCCTCCATCTCTGGGAATCTCTTCCTTGGTCTTATCTCTGAAATACAGCTGAGAAGTAGAAAGGAAGCAAGGGATTGGCAAACAGGGGTCACGTTTCTTGCTGGAACATGCCCTCTTTAGTTTTAGCAGAGACCCCAGGACCTTGTTTGCTCCTATGTCAGAATGAAGGTTAAGGAGCCTTGTGTCTGACTTCACATATTGGTGGGGTGCAAGCAGAGATAGAATGTGGGGGCTGCTAGGGTTTGACATGTGGACCAGGATTAAAATTCCACTTCATTCAATTCAATCAAATGCAGTTGAACTGGAGACTCACTTATTTTCACAAAACGAATGGCATCGACAAGCCTGCTGATGAAAAGAAGCAGGAAAACTGCAAGCACAGCCACCTGGGCTGTTCAGAATAGGAGGAAATGGCTCTGCTCCTGGCCCTGGATCCTCCAGGTATGGACTCTGGCCCTGAAATCAGGGACTTAGATCTGAGTCCTGCTGCCTCCCCATCTCCCCATGTCACGAGTTTATGTAAGTCCTTGAAACATGTGAGCTTTACCTTTCCTATCTGTGAACTGGGAGCAATCCTACCTATCCTAGCTTCCCTTTGTTGATAGTGCTAGTGTTATCTTCTCTGATAAACCAGCAATCTGAGAAGGGAGATAAGTGAGGAGAACAAGGCCTAAAGAGATTGTTACCTGCCCAATGTCAAATAAAGAGGAAAACCCATCTTTCTCTCTATCTGTTTACATGTCTGGTTTTTGAAATGGTAGAGGTTTTATAAACATGGATGAGACTACAGCATAATGATGGATATTCACTTTGCATAATGATAATTATAGCGACATTACAAAAAGGTTAAATTGTGTTCATTATATATTAATAAACAAACAAGAAAGCCTAATGCATATTTTAAGATTCCTGTCCATAAGTGCATCGTCAACAACAAAAAGAATAAAAAAATGAAATAAATAAAAAGAAAAACAAAAGCCTTGATCAAAATGAAGACTTTGGGTTTGTTTTAGTTTTCTGTAACAATAATTTATGAAGACCGTATCGTTCTTGAAGAGAGTTGAACATATGAAAAACTTCTGCATAAAAACCCACCTGGGGAAACTGATTTTCAAATCCTTAGCTCATCTATAAGTTATTATGTGGAATTAGACCAAATTGAGTGGAAAAAAAATGATGAAGGGCTTAATAGAAAAATGAAGTCAATTTAAAAAATAATAATGAGTTAGAGTATTGATTGTATAGGCTATTAAGTTAGCACAGCAATTTCAGGTTTTCTGAAGTCAATTACAAGTTTTAAATGGTTATTTCAGTTTTTCTCCTGGGATAACTCAATAAAGCTTTGATGACATTCTCCACGGCCAGGGGAGTGGGGAGGCAGTAGGGATAGTCAAGGCCACCCAGGTGCACCCTGCAATTACCTTGCCATACTTCGCCTTGTACTTCTGCTTTATTTGCTGCCTCTGGTTCGAGGTCCTGCTTGCTAAGATTTCAATGATGGGGGCTTCATTTGTTCCTAAGGTGCAGAAGAGAGAAGTGAAACCGGAGTGAGCGAGACACCAGATGGAGGATCAAGTCAGTCAGGTTGGGAAATCCACAACCCACGATTTCAGGTGATCAGAGGCTACGACGGTGGAACTGAGTGGCCCCCGATAGCCTTAATGTTCTGTGCTGAAAGCGTGTTCTTGGCACTCACTCAGACAAGACATTGGAGCCCTCTCTACAGGAAGCACAGCGAAAACATTCTAGTGGAAAGAGGAACATGTACAGCCCAATCCCTCATTTCAGTCCTAGAGAAGCGAAAGCATGTCCACGCACAACTTGTGCATGATTATTTCTTTTTAAAAATATTGTTCTTTTTAGTTACACAAGACAGTAGAATATATTTTGACATTATGAATAGGCGGAATATAACTTCTTTCCCATTCTGTGGTTGTACATGATATAGAGTTACACTGGTCGACTATTTGTATGTGAACATAGGAAAGTCATGTCTGATTCATTCTACTGCCTTTCCTGTTCCCATCCTCTCCCTTCCCTTTATTCCCCTTTGCCTAATTCAGTGAACTTCTATTCTCCACCCCTCCATGAATTTTCATTGCTGCATTATTCCTAATGGCCAAAAGGTAGAAACACCCAAAATTCATTCCATCAATGGACAAATGGATAAACAAAATATAGTATATCTATATAGTAGAATATTTGGCCAAAAATGTTTATTTGCTGATAAATATGGAAGAAACTTAAAAACATTATGCTAAGTAAAAGAAGTCAGTTGCAGAAAATCATGTATTATATGATTACCTTCATATGAAATTCTAGAATAGGGAAACCCATAGACACAGAAAGTAGATTAGTGGCTGGGGGTGTGTGGGATGGGAAGAGGCACAAAGGTTCAGGATTTTAGTGAGGTGATGAAAATGTTCTAAAATCAATGGTTGCAATGTTTGGCGTATCTATAAGTATATTTAAACCATTGAATTGCATACTTTAAATGGGTGGATTATATGGTATGTGAATTACATTTCAATAAAACTATTTTTAAGACTCAAGAAAGAAGTTGTGACCCATTTCTAGTCCACTGGGTACTTACTACTGACATAGGCCTAAGATCTAGGCCCAAATTGCCACAGTATCAATCCCATCCACAAAACTGTTAATCTCAGAAGTCTAAACTGGGACTGTAAGGGTAGTTGTCCCTATAAGCCTGTAAGCGCCCATAACACCTTTGAACTTTGTTCTTTTTATAAAGCTGTTTTTTTTCCCCCAATGCTCAAAGTAATGAATGCTCATTTCAGCAATTTGATCAAAACTCAAAGCTGTCATGATTAATAAGGGACAGGAAGATGTCTTAAACAAGGAAACGCAATTAGGAAGATGCCCCAGGCATGGCCAGTGTGGGAGTGAGAAAGACCAGGTAGCCATCAAGCTCTAGATTAGATTTCCTCAGCTAGAATTCTAATCGTGGCTCCACCCTTTACCAACTGCCTGGCACTTGACCAGTTATAAGCCTCAGTTTCTCCACCTATATAATGGGCAATACTAGAAAAGGCTGTGTGAGAATGAACTGAGAATCCAAGGAGGGGTCTGTGGTGGAGCTGGGCGTGCACCCTGGGGACCCCAACCTCAGGGAACGTAAATGTCCAAATGCCTTGGCGCTGCCTCATTCCACGTGGGACTTGTGCAGGCCACCCAGCATGAGCAGCCCACCTTGGTGATGGAGTACCCTGGGATCCCACGTAGCACTCAGCAATCATGAGCACTGGAAGGAAATCTGAGGACCATATAATCTAAACTGTTCGTGACAGATGAGGAAACTGAGGCGTGGCTCAGGGCCTCTTCTCAGGTCCTGTGCTGCCTTTCTTTGCCTGAAGAACCTTCCTTGATGACTGTCCTCCTCTCCTCTCATTTGTTTCTTCCTTCTCTGTCTCCACCTCGCTCTCCCATCCTCCTTTGGCCCTTCTTTCACTGGTCATCTGACGTCAGTTTCCAGTTCTCCTTTCTGGCTATTGTTACTCCTCCCACAGATGACTCCTTCCCTTCGTTGATGACCCTCTGAGTTCAGGTCTTATTTCCAGTATCCCATGGCCATCTTCCCACAGATCTCTAAGGGGCTTCAACTTCCAGGGGAGCTAAAGCTGAACACATTTTGCCGATTCTCAGTTTAACCCACTCTCCACTCTCCTATTTCATTTCAGTGCACTTGAAGTAGAAAATCCAAAGTTATATCGGGGTGCCCATTTTTTGTCTCCCTTGCTTTCCAAAGTCACCAAGTCCCATCCATCTCACCTACAATAGAACACCTGCATCTGTTGCAACCTCTCCTTCATTCCCACTGCCACTGCCTAGTGGATCCTGATTGTTTCAGTCTTTCTGATGCCAGGCTCCACACTCCACCCTGGACCATATATATTTGTGCTTATTTCACTTCATAATTTAAATGCCTTTCGTGATTCCTCGTGACTTCTGGAATCAAATCAGAATCCCTTAATGGAGCATCAGGACTTCCTGTAATCTGGTCTCAGACTACTCTTTCAAACCCATCCCTGCTCTCATGGACAGAGAACTCACTTACCTTATCTCAACCACATTTGCTGGGGGATCAAGTGCTTTAAACCTTGAAGAACTAAGTTCCAGCTTCCGCTGTTCCTCCATAGCCCAAGGCTTACATAGCAGTAGTTCCTTGCAGTGATTATAGGATTGCATGAATGAGACATTCTGAGCCTTGTGGCTGGGCCACAGGGAGTGGTCATTAAATGCAGCGTGTACTATCACAGTGCCAATTATGGCCATCTTGCTTGGGCCACAATTGGTTGCTTGGGGGAACTGGATCTGTCTGGCACACCAGAACTATTTTCCAAGCATATCACTGAAGGTATAAAAAGTGATTTGGGGCCATTTTTATTTTAATAGTTTATTTTAATAGTTTATTTTAATGTAAACCTAATGTCTAAAAAAAAAGCGAGCTAAAATGAGTTGATTAAAAGAAAAATGCTTTCTGAATAAACAAGTGATTTGAATTAAGTTATACTTAAAAAAAAGATTTTACTAAAGCTAATAATGTTGATACCTATGTAGGATTAAATAAAGTAGCAGCAAGCAGCATACATGTATATGTGGGTAATATATCATTCTCATTTAAGGCTAACAGTGCTTTAAATATAGTAAAAGACTTAGAAACTATTTGTTGATCAAAATAATATGGAGTTTTTTTATTGTATTTTAGCCCTGGATTAATAAATGTATTCTCATGCCATAAAAAATAAATAAATAAAGAAAAGAAAAATGCTAAGTTAATAGTACTCAGACAAAAATCATGGAAGTGCAAATGGTGGAGGTCTAGATTGGATTGTTGCCTGGATTGTTGATTCTTTGGTGACAGAGGTTATGTCTTATGGTTGAACCCCTCCTTCACATGGTGGGTTTCAGCTATACTTAGTATTTTTCCAAATAAATCTGTTGAATTGCCTTGCACTGATTTGACTTAATTAAAGAAAGGCAAGGGTTCATCCCAGTCCACTACTTTTTTTTTTTTTGCTATCAGGGGATTGAACCCAGGGGCACTTGACCAATGAGCCACTTCCCAAGCCCCTTTTCATATTTTTATTTAGAGACAGGGTCTTACAAAGTTGCTTACGGCCTTGCTAAATTGCTGGGACTGGCTTTGAACTCGCGATCTTCCTGCTGGGATTAAAGGTATGTGCCACCATGCCCAGCTCCACTGTCTCTTTTGAGGACATCTTGGTACCCTATGTGGTACCAAGACAGGTTCTGTATCCTCTTCTCTGGTCCTGTCGCATAGCACCTGACCTGCTGTGGGCTGGGGGAAAGCTCCATATACATGAGACTGGGCAGCACCATTGGTTTCATGGGGTCTGGGGATATATCCAATGTTTTGCCCGCTCGTTTGAATGATGTTTAAAGAGGATTTCAGCAGCTAGTCCATAGGTGGAGGAAACAACGAAGGTCTGTTTGATTGGAGGGAGAAGTTAAGGGAGGAGCTCCTGGCTCCTGGTCAGGTCTTGTGCATCACAGGGGAGGAAGAAGAGTAACTGAAGTTCTTGATTCTTGTACAAGTAGTATTTAGCTCCCATGATATCCCACCTTGGAGAGGTCTAGCTGTTGCTCCAGATTTTTCTACATGGAGGACCTCAGGGTTATATTCTGGGGGGAGGAAGTGAGCAGGGAGGTGAGGGGACTTGTTTGAACCTGAATTTTCATGGGACAAATACTGTTTTTCCTTGGTTTGCATGCTCATTCAGAAGCAGCTTGTTAGAGGCAGTGGAGTCCAGGGATGGGCTAAAGCCATTGCCCTTGCCCCGTTCCCAAATATCATTTGATCTAACACTCCTTCAATCAGAGCTGTGTGCAAGCAGACGGCTGGTTCCATGGTAGGACTCCAGGTTTCAGGGAGAAGTACTCATCTGTCTCCAAATCCTTCTCTACTGTTCCTGCCACAGGCCCCAAGATCCCTGCTATTAGAATCACTTACGCTAAGATAGTCTCTCAATGGGGCCTGTTGGACCTGATACATGAACTTGAGCAGGGAATAGCTCATAGAGATCAACTTCCCTAGCAGGCCACAGGGATGAGAAGCAACTGGTGTGGAGGGAGAAGGATGACCTTTGGAGTCAGATTGGACTTCCAGCTCTGCCTCACACAAGCCAAAGGGTGCTGGACTCTTGGGTTGTAATGTCCCAGACTGTAGCAGATATGGCTATCTGCTACCTTGGAAATGGGGTGAGTTGGAGTTGAGATGTGCTAGGAAAGCAAAATACAGACTGGATTTCAATGACTTCATATACAAAAAGAGGGTTAAGTATCTCACTAATAATTTTTATGTTGACTGCCTGTTGTTATCATTTCAAAATGATAATATTTTGGGTCAAATAAAATGGTTAAAATTAATTTCATCTGTTTCTTTTTAAAAATGTGGCTTCTAGAAAATTTGAATTTGCATTTTTGGCTCACATTATTTCTCTGCCGGACAGCGCTGCCTAGTAGAGCCTAGTCTAC